CCCAAATCTGCATGGATAGGTGGGCTAGTTTCTGGGACCAGGTTCCTCCTTGTTTGTTCAAATAAAAGACCGTAGCCATGTTGTCCGAGGTCACCTGGACAACCTGGTGGAGAAGCACTTCCTCAAACGATTACAGGGCTTTGAAAACAGCAAGAAGTTCCAGGAAGTTGATGTGGTTCCTGGAATCCCAGTGACTCCATACCCCTTGGGTACGTAGATCGGAGCAAATGGCTCCCCATCCCAGCAGAGATGCGTCGGCACCAAGGGTCACTGTAGGGTACCGAGGTTGAAACGGGACACAAACATTTAAATTGGCTGGTTCTATCCACCATAACAGGGATTGAAGAACGGAGACCGGAAGTCAAATCCGTTTGGTGGGTGGATCTGTCTGTGGTTGGAACATCCCGTTGAAGAACAGCTGGAGAGGGCGAAGCCTGAGTTTGGCATGTGGAACCATGGCGATGGATGTGGACATGTGTCCTAACAGGCTCTGGATAGACCGGGCGGGGACAGTTCTTTCTTGTCGGATCTGAGAGATGCACCGAGCAATAGCATGTTGTCTGTCTTGAGGAAGAAAAGATCTTGCCAACGTCGAATCCAGCCGGGCTCCGATAAAGTTGATCGTCTGTGTAGGGAGAAGAGAAGACTTCTGTTAATTAATACAGAGTCCGAGGTCTTGTAATAGAGCACACGTAATCTCAACAGCAGACGAGAGTCCTGCTTTTGTGTCGGAAACCAACAACCAATCATCAAGGTATGGGTATATCCAAATTCCACGTAAACGAAGGTGTACGCAGACAGAAGCCATACACTTCGTAAAAAACCCTTGGTGCAGTGGCCAATCCAAACGGTAACACCTTGAATTCATAGATTTCAGAGTCCACCACGAAACGAAGGAAGCGCCTATAACTTGGAAGTATTGAAATATAAAAATAGGCATCCTTCAAATCCAGTGATGTGAACCAATCCCCGCTTCCCAGCAACGGAAGTATATTTTGGAACGTGGTCATTCGAAACTTCTTTGGTGTTATGAATCTATTGAGAGCTCTCAAGTCCAATATGGGTCTGAGACCCCCATCTCGTTTCGGGACCATAAAATATCTGGAATAGAATACGTGGAGTCCCTCTGATAACGATAAACGACGAACAGCTCCTTTAGTAAGGAGTTGGTGAATCTTGTCCAACAGTACCGACGAGGTCGGTGTAAAATGGATAGGATTCGGTGATGGAACAACGTCGAATTCAATTCTAGAGCTGTGCAGGATGATGGATAACACCCACCCATCAGATGTGATGGACTCCCAAGTGGGGAGCTGACTTTTCAGCCGGTCCTCAAATGAGAGAGGGGAGGGTGAAGTTGGGATGAGAGGAGAGGCTCGCTTGTCGCATCAGCGTTGTCACCTGTCCGTATCAAAGCGGCGGCGGCCCTGCTGGAAGCACTGGGATGGTTGTTGCCTGTGACGTTGCTGGTGTTGATGCAGTTGCTGTTGCTGAGGCTGAAACTGTTGGCGGTATTGCGGGCGTGACCATGACCACTTACGTCAAGGCAGGGATTGCAGTTCCATACGACGGGCCGTCATTCTGGATTCGTGGATTTTCTTCAGTTTGCTATCCGTCTTCGCATTGAAGAGACCGGATCCGTTGAATGGCATCTCCTCAATGCTCTGCTTCATTTCATCCGGAAAACTGCAATTATGCAACCAGGCGTGTCTGCGGAGGGAAATGGCACCAACAAGCGATCTCGACTCAGACTCAACGTGGTGCCTCGCTGTGGAGAGCTGTTGCACCGCCACCTGCATAGCTTCTTTAACAAAGGTTTTTGCAAGTTCGCCCTGGTTTCCTGGGAAGGTGTCAATGATGGCATCTAGGCGTTGCATAAGAAAATACTGATAGCGCGCCAGGGTTGCCTCATAATTGGAAATTCGTTATTCAAGCCCGAAGCTGCATATACCCGGCGGGCGAGGGAGTCAACTTTTCTTCCCTCTTTATCACAAGGCGAGGTGTGTCCACGTGCTTCCCGGCCCTGGGAGGATTCCACAACCACCGAGTTCGGCTTGAGGTGACGGAGGAGGAACGGGATGTCTTCCTCCTGAACCCGATACACAGATTTGTATTTACATGAAGTCGGTTGTGGGTGAGCCATGAGGCCCCATGGCTGAGTCATTGCCTGCCATAAGGTCGTAATGAACGGCAAGGCAATAGATGTGGATCGTTCGCCCCCGACCACATCATAAAAATGGTCAGTGCTCAGTCCCGGTTGTTGGTGGGCTTCGATATTGAGCTACCTCACTAGCCTGGCTATCAAATCATTGAACGAGATGTACGGTTCTTCAGGTGATCCTGGGCCCTGCGAAGTAACCGCTGCATCCGGCGAGGTCGAGTCAGCCTCTGACTCATCAGATTCCATCCAGTAGGGGGGTGGTACACTGGAGGAAGAATCTCCTGGTGACTCTGATCTGCCACTTTCTTTAGATGGAGCCCTCGGGGCGTCTCTGGGCATTGAATGGAAGCGATCCCGAGGAGCTGGTAGCGAAGATCGTCCCCTGGAAACCGGGTAATAGGCCATGGATTGGTTCTCTCCCCGTCTCGGAGCGGAGGAGTATCTGGAATGGTACCAGTCATTGGATCTAGCATCCGAGGACCGGCTCCTGCGGCTTCTCGGGGGAGAGATGATGATCTCAGTATCCAGCGGGACAGGCGGCATTGGCGTTGGTGACCGAGCTCTCGGTGGAGAATCTCTTATTTCCCCATCTGAGATGGAACCACGCCGTGAATCCAGAGTAGGTTCGGCTGCCGTTCAGCGCAGTGAGCCCGGCGGGGTAACCCTCATAGCCACCTGGATGGTCGGGACTGAGGGGGTCGGTTCCATGGCAGGAGTCGGGATCGAGGAAGTCGCCGAACCCGAGTGGCAATGCTTTGCGTGCTCAGGATTCCTCGGCTTTTTAACCGGCTTCCCGCCTTATCTTTTTCGGCCTTCTTATGCACAGGATGTTTGTCCGGATCGCTGTGCTTTCTCTTCCCCTTTTGTTTCCTTGGCAGGGAAACAGGTTGATCGGCCATGGTATGAGCACCTTCTTCAGAAGGGCGTGAGGGCGTAGCAATGGAGGAAGAGGCCGGGCGTTGCGGCAGATCGGCCAAAGTTGGGCGGCCTTTGGGTGGGGCCACAGCAGTGGGAGGCTTAGCCACCAGCCGGTCCGATTGGAGGAGAGCCTGGTCCCACAAAAGTTTGTGGAGGCGGTTCTCCCGGTTCTTCCTCACCTGTTTGAAGAAGGCCAAACAATGGCCACACTTACCAGTCCTGTGCCCTTCCCCCAAACAAAGGAGGCACAGGTCATGCGGGTCCGCAGCAGGCATTTTGGAGCTGCACTTCCCGCACTTGCGGAATGCCGCCCGTTGCGCCATCGTAGAAATAGAATAAAAAGGAGATAGTAAAGCAGGAAAGTAATATTTTTGGTTTTTTTTTTTTAGGAACAAGAGAGAGAAAAAACGGTGAAAAGTTAAGAAGTAAGTGAAATACTAACAACAACAGGAACGAGCGAATACTAACTTGGTAAGGAAAAAAGAGAAGTTTTTCAATGAGTGAGAGGTAAGTAATGATCTAAGTGAGAGCGAAGTGGCATGAGGCACAATGAACGGCGGTCGCAAAGACTGGAAAATGGCGGACATTCCGCTCCTTATATAATGCTAGGGGGGAGGGGGAGCGGAGTTCCCACGAAAAACTGTTAGCTGTTAATCTTCCGGCCAAAGGCACTGTGCAGGCGCAGAACCCATATGTGTGATGCACAGAGGCCACGACGAAGAATCTGTGTTGTGCTGACTCTGGTTCTCATGGGACATTTCCTTCTCTTGTGTGCATGCAAGGGACTCTTCTGAGCACGCGTGCACGACACTCTGTTCCAGTACCAGTTCATTCCAACATTGTCCAAGGTGATGAATGAACCGTGGCAGTTCCCTGCCACTAAGCCTTCTTGTGTCATCCAAACCCTGCAAGGGTGGCTTACAAAAGTCCATGGATTCTGGGAAGTTTGTTCACTACCCTAATAAGCCACCCTTACCAGGTCTGGATCATAGATGTTACAGATGGTGGGGGTAATTATGCAAATCAGTGGAAATGCAACCAATATACAGGGTAGTTGACAAACTCTGTAGTTTGTTAGCTACATGTAATCATGTGAACTGGACCACTATGTTCATAGGATTCTAAAAGGTACTGGTGCTATAGACTATTCTTTTCCCTTGCCCTATGGCTCATATAGCAAAGGCTGAGAGTGGATATGCCGAAAGCAGTGATCTGATTCACATGATCTGGGAATGCTTAATAAACCGTGATAGCTTGTTAACTACTCTGCATATTTCAGTTGAGTGCTGGCCTGATTTACATAATTACCTTTGTTGAATGCAGCTTGTCATAATGTCTAAGCCTCCCAAGGGTGCATGGTCTGGGTGGTTAACAAACCACCCAGAGCTACCTACCGTGGCTTTTTAAGCACCCTGCAATCATGCAAACTAGCCCCAAATCTGTATCAGCTTCTGTCAAAGGTAAGAAATTGCTCAAGTCCTATGGATGGTTGAAGCACCCACTGATGTGAGTACAAATGTGACTTAATCACTACTTTGCTGTTTTCCCAGTGTTTGAAGGTACCATCGATTATTATGCATTAAGGATAATATATGTGAACAGATTGTTTAATTTTAATGAAAAAGTGTACTTTTGCCCACTATAGAACTCTTTGTGCATGAAAATGGAAGACTTGGAGCCAACAGTAATTTAAAATCTAATAAGAATAAATTATATTGATAACAATATTATATTGAAAAGAGAACTTAATGTTTTTGACTGGTATTCAAATATTCTAAAGCAATAAATGTCATGTTTACATGAACACTCCTATCCATTCAGTAAAGATAAAGAGTCTCTAATTTAGGGCAGCATACACAACTTTTATAGAAACATACATAAATACTTCAATAATCAACATAGTAAGTATCAAGCAACTCACGATGTGCCTGGACTTGCTGTTGGTGGAGGACCTAGAGAAATTACATTGTATTGTAAAAAGAAAAAAGAAAAGAATAGTTTTAGGAAGATGTTTTAGGAAAATGGTTGCTTATCTAAATACTATTTTATTTGATGATATTGTTCCAAATTTCTAATATAAGACTGAGAAGTGTTGCTACATAGTCCCAGTTGTTAGTACTATAAGAGGTATACATTTTCATCTGGTTTTATTTAAGAGCTGAATGAATACAGTCTACAATATTGCTGGACAAATATCCCATAAGAAAAAAAACCACAGGGAGTTTTTCAGTGTAAGTGACTATTATTCTGTCAGTAGAGTTTTGCACTAAACTGTAAGCTGTGTCAAAGTAAACATCCAAATGTGTTCGCAAAATGTTTTTGGTTACTAAGTTAAATGATACCCCAGGTTCTGGTTCTCTAAATCAGAATGTAATCATACAGTTTTAATAGTGTGGTAAGAAATATTCACTTCAAAGTTACGGTATTTTAAAATTGCAAACTATTAACTATCATCAAGAACTAGAGAGCCATGCAGTTGTAATTCAGTGCATGCAAAAAGGCTTTGAAAACCGATTTCTTGAAAAATCAGTCCCATTGTGTTGCACTGCTGTATGAGAAGTGAGTTTTGAACTAAAAGGTAGTTTGTGATATGGATAGGAGAGTGCTGACAAACAAAACTGCACTGGGCTGATATGAGCCCTTCAACTAAGTTAAAACCTTTAGATCCCAGCATAGAATTTTGAGAACAAGTAAGCTAAAACTACTTTGTACACTTTCTAAAGAGAGGGTTTCAGATGACATTCCACACAACCATATTTATATTAAATTCATGGCACAGTAACTTTTAGAGCTGATGTTGGTTCACTGAAGCTGTCCTGTGAATGTTCTAACATGTCTCTAGATTTAAGCTGAAAAAAATCACATCACAGCTCATCTAAATTTTCTGAGATTAATCAAGAGATAGTAAATTTCATTCTAGACATATCTTTTGTAAGATTGATTCCACAAAGTAATTAAACACATCAACTTAGGTTGATTTAATATAAAAATACCTCTACCAAACAGTCTTCTGTGTGTGCATTATTATTAATTATTGTATATCCTGTTTGGAACCCATTTGGATGAAGACATTTAGAAATATGGTCTCCATTTGGTATAGTAATTTATCAAGTAATTGTGTGGACATCACTGCAATGAAGTAACAATTCCATCAAATAGACTTAGTACATATATCAATTATTCTTTCCTTTTCACCTATAGTACTCAAATGGATTCTATGTATTTAGGATGCAATCCTATACACATTTGGACAGAAAGGAAGTCCTACAACTCTTAGCAGTGTTGGCTGGGTACTGCTAGGAGTTTTAAAATATTGGATGATACCATAATGGATCTACTTTAAGCCAACTTTCAAGACTGAATTATTCCTAATATTGCAATATAATTTAAAGTATAAAACATACAATTCAATCTCAATAGAACAAGTTCATAAAATCTTATTTTAATTTGAAACAAACTTCAAATGAACAAGTGTCTCTAAAATACCATTTTAAAGGAGTCCAATGCAAAAGTTAAGTAACCAACAAAACACCATGTCAATAAAAACCTTTCAGCTAAATGCCTCTCTTGCCGGTGTTTGAAAGGAGATAGAAGGGTTATCAGCTAAAATTGCTAGGCTTCAGCCACAGCTTACCATGTAAGTTTCCATATTCTGAATGTTGTTTTCCTAATTGGTGCTTCTTGCAGAAAAAGTAAGCACTAGTCCATCGGCTAGCTATGTTAAGAATTAAAACTGATTTGATATTAAACATGTACAAGTATTTAATATGTTTTGAAGTATCAGTTGCAAGACTTGATGACTGAGTGGCATTGGGATGACAGCATGAGGACCAGCCAAAAATCCACACGCATTCTCCAAAATTGTAATTAGCATGTGGAATTACACCCTTAGTGGTAAAGTTGCACCTGGCCTCAGAACTGAGCATTTAACATGTTGTTTTTAATGTGATACTGTGAAATTAAGATTCTTTGTTAAGAAAATTAAAACATTTGCTCTGTTACATATCAGGCTTGGGCAAGTTGGGAATTGTAGGCCTGTTTTCTGTCAAAATTCACTTAGGATTGCATCCTAAATTAAGCTAACTGTTCTAATGTTCTGAAAAATTGGGCCTACGCAGCTACAGGCCGTGTTAAATTAGTGAGACACAATGGGGAAATATTCATGTACTGTCCCTGGGGACATCTGCCTTCAGCATGTTAACTCACATTTCTAAAGAACAGTAGCTTTTCAAAAAGAGAAACATCTTACCAAATTTCACGAACAGTACTCCAGTTGTAGAAACAGTCTTCCTGCCATTTGTTGCTACACACTGAAAGTAGCCGGTGTCTGTAGTATCAAGGTTCCTTATTCGTAGTCGAGAGCCATAGCTTGTTGCCCGGAAAGATATCCTTCTGGGTTCTTGCACAACAGGAGCATCATTTTTCAGCCAACGAACAGTGGGAGAAGGGTTACCAGAAACTTTACAATGCAGTTCTGCTGTCTGGCCAAGAGTAGTCGTGATATTGTTCATAGGCTCATCAAGCATCAGGAAATAATCTGTCAAATATACAAAGGAATGAGATTGGCTAAGGGACAAGTACTGCTTTGTTTAAAACTATGACATTTTTGCCTTTAAGCAGCAGACAGGAAAACCCTGTTCAAAGAAAGACATTATTTTTCAGATTTTTTAAAAAGTCCAGTTAAAAACAAAACTCAGGTGTATTACTCTCATTCAGGGACATCAATGCCCACAAAAGGCTCAAATACCTATGAGTTTCCTGTTTCTGCTCTCCTTTTACTGGAAAAGCAAATTGTATACGCATTTCTTTGCTTGTTCAGAGCTGAGCCTTCCATCAAATGGAGTGAAGTCTTTACGAATGGAGATGCATATGTACTTTGCACATGGCTTTGGAACAGAATAATTAACTATGCAGATTTATGAGTGTTTAGCTTTTACACATAAAAAATGTGCAAAATAGTACATGCGGACAGTTTCAGAGACAGATGCTTATTACATTTAGCTCTCTACACATAAAATTAGCTGTCAGAAGTTCTGTTCTGTATCTCTTACAGTTCTGTTCTGTATCTCTTACAATCCAAAGACTGAGTATGCTTACTGTACACAGGGTGCAGATTGACTATGAAAAAAATGAAAAGGGGGGTACAAATGGTGTGAAGTATTGGAAGGCTGACTCACTGGAACCATGAATGAACATGGCACACTGCAATGTTTTCTTTCATGACCCATTTAGACAGGGGTCCTCAAACTTTTTGAGCAGGGGGCCAGTTGAAAGGTGCCAGTGATAGGCACGGGCTGTCAAGGCGGTGCAGGCAGGGGACGCGGGCTGGCAGGGGCAGGTGGCCAGAGATATGAGCACCTCCCAGATTGTTTCTGAATAATAAAAAGATGGAAGTTCATATTCTTAACTGCACAAAAACTTAAGTACCATTGCACACTGTCACAACTGCACAAAATGTTCAGCTGCACATTGGAATGAAACAATTTAAATGAATAGAATTGAAGTTAGACTAGCATTGACTTTGAACCAAAGTGACTAGCACAAAGAGGAAGGGCCAAAATGGCGAAAGAGTAACATTCCCTAGATACTGTTCCCATATACACTGGGAAAACTAAAGCCACAAACATGAAATCTAAGGAGTCATTCTCAGACAAAGGGAGGAGATTAAGAAAGAGATGGCATACCATAAGTCCAGGAGAAGCTGGAAAAGGAAAGGAGGAAGAAGCAACTTAGAATGGAAAACTTCTTTCCTTCAAATGGGGATATGTATACTGTGAATCTCAAGAACAGCTTTTGCCACAGCCCCCATCAGCAGTTCAGACTGTCAAGAGATAGAAAGCAACCCACTAATGAAAACCCATGAGGAGGGGAATGAGGGAAAACATAAATCTCTCAGACAAAAAGTAAACAGCCAGAAGGCTGAACACGCTCTCCCTTCACAGTCAAATTGTCCCACTCAACAGTTGGGTAAAATTTGTTTTATATCTGCAGAAACTTTAATTTTGCTTTTAGAATATTTAAATAAAATGAAAAGGCAATTAGGAACCCTAATGCAAAATGTTCAAATAGTAGTTAAGTCAGAGCAAAGAGGTGAGAAGAGGAAGACATTTTTGTTATATGCCTCTCTTTTAATGTTGAGCAAATGCAGAATGTACAACATAAGATGCAAGGAAGAATACAAAGAATTTTTCAAACAAATCAAATCCTGATATCCTTCCAAAAGAAAGCTGCACAGCTTTGGTCTAATAAGAAAAGAATTCTTACCTCTCTGACAGAACTATTGCATTGTGATATATCCCTGCTGGATCAAAAACAGTTCTACCTTCTGCCACCCCAGATAGACTATAAAAGATTATTCCTAATCATTAACTTTAAATCACAACTTTTTTGTTTGGCACATTATCTGAGAGGATATGGTATAATCCCTCAGAGAGTCTTCAAAGAGCTTGGAGTTAGAGCCCTTGCTAGAGTTCGAAGGGTTAACTATGGTACCTCCTCACTAATGCTGATTTGGACAGTTGTGGAGGAGTCTAGCCTTGACAATAAAGATAAAACACAAATGGTCATTCACAGTGAGTCAGGTGGACTTTTAAAATTAAGGAACAAATTGGATGAGCTACTAATGCCAAGGAGAATTGGATTATGTGAAGAAGATCTGGCATTGAAACTATTTGCCTAATGGAAGACTTCAATGCAATTGTCGACAAACACATAGACTATAAGAGCAGCAATAAAGGAAAAAGAGGAAGAAGAATACTTCCAAAATCATTCTTTAAACTATCAGAGGAATGTAGATTTATAGATGCTTGGAGACACAAAAATACAACTATAGCTAAACATACTTTTTACTCGAATAGACATAGGTCATGGTCCAGAGTCGATATGGTTGGATGACTCCAGACCTAATTTCAGATCTGCTAGAAGTTGAAATAGGCACTAATGTGTGGGCTGATCATAACCCCATAACTATGACCTTAAGAAGAACATGAAAACTGCCTAGATGGACATGTAATAAATGCATACTGAAAGACAAAAACTTTAAAGAAGAAATGACAAGGGAATTGAATTTTTTCTTTCAAGAAAATAACATAGAAGAAACCTCCCCACAAAACATTTGAGATACAGCTAAAGCATATGCCAGAGGACTGATCATAATGTATACAGCAAATATAAATAAAAGGAAAAGACAAGAACGACTTAAACTAACAGATGAACTAATGAAGTTGGAACTTGAATCACAAAAGCACGCATCAAAAAAGTTCTTAAAAGATACAGATGAATATTTTAAAACATAAACTGAATCTATTAGAAACAAACAAATTAGCTAAACAAGTTAAAATGGCTAAACAAAACTTTTTTGAAAACGCCAATAAACCTGGAGGATGGTTTGCATACAAACTAAAGAAAGAGAAAAGAGGCCAATCTTTAAGTTGACAGATGGAGAGGGTCAATTACAAGTACAAAGTACATCAATAAAGAAAATAGTTAAAGATTTCTTTGTAAAATTATATTTATTTATTTAAAACTTTTGTATGCCGTTACCACATGCCCAGGCATCTTGGGATGGCTCACAATACATACAATTAAAAACAACAAAATGATCTTTATAAATAACAAATTCAAATAAAATATTACATAAGAACAAAAAAATGAAAACAAAAAGAGCGACTGTTCAATGATAAAATATTCATTTTCAAAATAGCGATTAAATAAAAATGTTTTAACCTGGTGCCGAAAAGAATATAAATTCAGTGCAAGGTGCACCTCTCCAGGGAGTGCATTCCACAATCTGGGTGCCACTGCAGAGAAGACCCTGCTCCGGGTAGATTTTTTAAAATCTCCTTTAAAGAGAGCTCCTGGAGCAGAGCCTCTCCTGCAAATCTTAAGGGGTGTGAGGGCATGTAAGGGAAGAGGCGCTACTTCAGGTTTCCTGGTCCCAAGCTGTTCAGGGCTTTATAGGTTAAAACCAGTACCTTAAATTGGGCTTGGACTTCAACTGGAAGCCAATGTAGCTGGTAGAGGACCGGCGTTATATGAGAATAATGACCGGTCCCCATCAGCAGCCTGGTAGCTCTGTTCTGTACCAGCTGAAGTATCCGGACCGTTTTCAAGGCCAGCCCCATGTAGAGCACATTACAGTAATCCAACTGGGAGGTTGGATTATCAAGCTAATATCAAGCTAAAGTATCAACTGAGAAGATTCAAGAATATATTCAAAAGGAAAATTTACCAAAGCTGTCGGAGAACCTCAAAAAGATATTAAATGAGGAAATAACAATGAAGGAGATAAGTGAAGTGATTAAGAGATAGTAAACTGACAAAACCCCTGGCCCAGATGGATTACCAGCAAAGTATTATAAGTGTTTTGAAGAAATCCTAAGTGCACCATTGAAGGACATATGTAATGAAGTATTACTAGAAGCTAAAGTACTGAACACCTGGATCGAGACAACTATTACTCTAATACTAAAAGAAGTGGACTTGATGCAGATTCAAAACTATAAAGCAATATCACTTCTAAATGTGGACTGCAAAATTTTCACCTCAGTAATGATGTAAAGGTTGAAGAAATTCTTAATAAACTTTATACACACAGATCAAAATGGCTTTTTACCTAAGAGACAAATTAGAGATAATGTGAGGAATATCCTGGATATTTTAGGGTATTATGAAGTACATTCTGAAAAACAAATGGCATTATTGTTCTTAGATGCACAAAAGGCATTTGATAATGCCAACTGACAATTTATGAAACAGCAACTAAAACAGATGGAATTTGGTGAAAAATTCATGAATACAATAACAAGCATCTACCAAAAACAGACTGCAAGGATAATAGTTAATGGAGAACTTACAGAGACCATTAATATCGAAAAAGGTACAAGACAAGGATGTCCTCTATCACCATTGCTATTTATACTGATCTTAGAGGTTCTCAATAGAAGTATTAGAAAAGATAAGGATATTAAAGGAGCTAAAATTAAAGATGGAAACTATAAACTTCAAGCATTTGTGGATGACCTAGTTTTTATCTTGGAAGACCCGTTGGAAACGGTGCCTAAATTACTAAAAAAAATAAAGGACTATGGAGAAGTTATTGGGATGCAAATAAATAGAGAAAAGACTAAACTATTAGTTAAAAATCTTACAACTGAGCAAAAAATAGTCTTGATGTAACAAGTAGATCTCCAAATAAATACTCCAAATAGATATCTCCAAAGATTACTTGGGAATTTGTCTAATAGCTAGATGTGCTACATTGAAAGAAGATAATATGTTAAACTGTTTAAAGAGATTAAGAATGACTTGGAAAAATGGACTTGCAACTATCACTGTTGGGAAGAATAGCCATAGTAAAAATGAATGTATTACCTAAGCTTTTGTTTTTATTCCAAACAATTCCCATAGAAATTGAGAAAAGGTTTTTTGATGATTTAAATACAGAAGTTTTGAGATTTATATGGCAAAAGAAAAAACCAAGAATCAAATCAAAAATGGTTCAGGAGGCTAAAGGACATGGGGGCTTTGGTCTTCCAG